TTTTAAAATTACATTATATTTTAAAAATAGGATAAAGAATTATATACTTCTCATGTTTGCACATAAGTCCAAAAATCTCATCATATACAACCTTGAAGCAAGGTCCTCCTTTGTTAAGTAGCACTTGTTCCCAGCAAATTTGTGAAATGTAAACATCATCTTTCCATGACGTGTTCCATTTGGGAGGGCATCTAGACTGTTGAACCTTAGCGCGAAGGCACAGCAGGCGAGGGGAGCGGGGACACGGCAGTGGTCTGGCCTACACATTTTGATGTCTTATTTTCCCTTTTATTGTAGTCTATGTATGTTAAAATTTTCTTTGACACATCTGTTTTGATTCACAGGTTATTTGTTTAATATCTATGTGTTTACAGATTTGACAAATTCCAGGTCTTTCCACAGGCAGTTACAAGTTTCGCTTGGCAGGCCTACCCCAGGTCCTCCTCACACTGGACCCAAGCACAGCCAATACCCAGCAGTTTCTGAGGGAGGTACAGCCAGGACTCTGACCCCCATGGAAAGCAACATTCTCACATATATCTGCAGTCGTAGCTTGGCTACCTTCATCTGGGGTCTCCTTTCATGGGGTCTCCTTCTGTGGGTTCTCAAGATGAAGTCTTCCAGGCACCTTTGTATGATCTCTTTATCAGGGGGATAATAAAACTTGAAAACAATCTTCTCCATTCTGAATGGTACTCAGAACCTTTCATTTTGGGGGTGCTCACTGAGCATGAGAGAATCCCTACCTCTACACTGATGTCCTCGACCTTTATCTGGTTGTGTTCCATGAAGAAGAATAGGTATAGGCAAGAGAGCGCTTTCACCTTTTAGTCTCTTTCTTACATCACTGTTGTAAGTGATTAAAGGCTTGCCTGTGGCTTTTGCTCTGCCTGGTTGTGTTAATTGATTACTTTGATTTATTCCAGGCCAGTTCTCTCCAGATCAGTTCAACCTTTGGCAAGATTTTACTGCTGTGGTTGCTTTTCAGTTTGCTTTTGATATGGTCAAAGAGAACACTCTGTATTTCAGTTCTTTAACTGGTTAAGATGTTTTGATGTCTCAGTATATGGTCTACCATGGTATGTGCCAAGGATACCTAGAAATGTATATTCTGCTGTCATTATATAGTTTATTCTGTGTATGTCAATTACATACCACTGCTTGATAGTTTGATAGAGTTCTACATCCTTGTTAATTATTTTCTGCTTGTTCTATCAATTTCCAGCAGTACTGAAGTTCTCAACTGTAACTGAAATTATCTATTTCTCTTTATAACTCTCATCAATTACTGCCTCATGTGTTTTGTAGCTTTGCTGTTTGATGCGTACATATTTAGAATTATTTTCTCATCTTGGTAGAGTGATCCATTTATCATAAGAGCTATATTTGTATATGGCAATAATTTTCCATAGTCTGAATTCTATTTTATCAGATACTATCATACAGTCTTGCTTTTTTGGAGTAGTATTTGCATAGTGTCTTTTTAAATTCTTTAACTTTTAGTTTATCTATGTGTATGAATTTGAAGTGATTTTATTATCATTAGAGTCATGTTTTGTCTCCAA